TGCATAATTTTGTTCATCCTTGGGATACCCTGTCATTTTCCAATTGAACAGACTCCTATTTACCCATGAATAACAACATTATCAGAACAACAGATTAACATTAATCCACGCCCATCTCCATATATCACCTCGATTTTTCCTAACCATATTTTGTTAACTTTTAATTGACCGTTCGCAAAAGCCACGCCCCCTAGTTATTGTTGCTACGCCCGTCAAAGAAATGGTCAAACACGACCAGCGCCTATAAGCTGTTTCAGTGGCTAATTGTTTGGAGTTAGAAATATATAACTCACGCTGCATATTTAGTAATTTTGCCTCAGATACAGGATTATTCATTCCCTTTAACAAGCAGGTTGATCATTACCACGGCAACCGCTTGCGTGTCATGCTAAATGCGATTTTCGTGTTTAAAAAGTAACTATACATAATAGACGGAAAGATGCAGATAACCATACATTATTTCTATTCGTTACGATATTGATATGAACTGATGTTGTCAAGTAAGCTTCATGCGTGCCCCGTTGCGAACGTGCACTCCTCTAACGTTAGTCTAAACTGTAGTCTACAGGTGCTGCCTGCGCTAGTGACTGCTGCTCATTTCCCCCCGAAAATATCATGTTAACAACAACACTTAAGAAAACGTACTTCCTTTGTGGATCCTCTTGATCTGCTTTCTCCATGTGTCTTTGACTAATCTCATTGTCTCAGTCTCACGCACGCTGCACGCGAGTTAACCATGTTTGACACATTTAACTGGGAGTGGGGCCGTCCACACTGTTTTTATCCATTGTAGGGACAACGCACGTTGTGTTTTCGGCTTTTGAAACGAAAAGAACACAACTCCTCCAGACAATCTCTCGGGGTATCTAGTGTCCGATTTACAAACGCCGTGGGCACACCGCTTCACCATCTTGCTTGGAGTCAATGTTTGACGGACCTGCTCACATAGTAACGGTTGCTATGATGTGTGATTGGACAATAGCCGTTTTGGGGGAGGGGCCTGCGAACGGTCAATTCAATCAGGCAATGGTTTTACTTAGTAAGCTCTATTTAATGCCCTATTTAATAAAATCTTTCCAGAAAGGTTTTATCATTTTATCCATTCTTCTAACCCAGTGTTTCCCAACCCTGTTCCTGGCGGCACACCAACACTGCGCGTATTCTTTGTCTCCCTAATCAAACACACCTGATTCAACTCATCAGCTCATTAACCCATGTGATTATGAGCTAATGAGTTGAATCAGGTGTGTTTGATTAGGGAGACAAAGAATACGCGCAGTGTTGGTGTGCCGCCAGGAACAGGGTTGGGAAACACTGTTCTAACCAATGTAGTTGTTCAAAATTAACCCTGACTTTTCCATTACGCACTGTCTTTTTACTTATTACCGTACTTCACTTTAATTAATAGATTTTCTTCTTTTCCTGAAAACATTTGAACCAATCAAATCATTAGATCTCTATCAATACTAAGCCCTAGTTTGATTCAATCAAATGGAATCATCACAGAAACAGATTCTTCTGCTTTTCCTGAAAACATTAATTGCTCCACATTTTCCTTCAGGCGTGTTGATCATCTCGTTCGCCCCCACATTCCATCTTCACCATTTTGACACTTTGCACGGCGTTGCAATGGTCTTTCCCTCGTAGGCAAGGGAGGCTGTTACTAGCACGAGCCTTTGATTCCTCACTTTGTGCTCTATTGGATGGTTTGAAGCTTGTTGGTGTAGTCTGAGGTGAGAGGCTTAGACCCAGGTGTCACACTGTCTGATCCTTACATTTTCTGATCCTTACAAGATTACGCCCGCACCCCGCTGGAATGAACCATTTACTGTCTGCTGTCACCTGCGAATGGAGACCTTAAGTGATTTTGTTAGTGACCGCTTGTCTTGCTGGGCGTCCCTTTTGGTGTGACCTGTGGAATTTTCAACCTGAAACATATCACCGGATCATATCTTTCTCCTTGAATAGCACTCAGGGTCCTTTTTGTCCCCTGAAAAACACTCAACCCACCTTGCTTATGCTAACAAGACAATATATATATACATTTGGAACAGAATCAGTTCTGTTTGATGCAATCCATCCTGACATCCTGCAAAGGAAAAAATGTAAGTTAGGCGCTGCGCAGGTGTGGCACCTTTCTGCCAAAATAATAACCTAAGCCAGGATATTTAGCCAAATTCATCCATAGCCATTATTTTATTGGGCACATTCTGCCCTGATTTTGTCTGCTGTGTTGCCGCGGCCTTCGCTGCTGCATCTGCCCTGGCGTTTCCTGTTGAAACAATCTTTGTTATTAGCACAACTACAGAAAGAAATTTTGTAGAATGACCTTACTCAATTAAACCCGGTGTTCTCTCAACATTTATTGTTCCCCCTGTGCGATGGCTTTCAGCAAATCCCAAACCATCCCCCTTTTGATGCACCATCCAACTTGTGCATCAAATTAACATAATGGTGTTTTGGATTTAGTTTGCCATCAACACTAAACCAAACATTCTCATTCAGCCATCTTTCCTCCAGACATTTTTCCTTGCCTCTGGAACAAAAATATTATGTAAAGCCACAATCTCATCTTCTTATCAAATTATTTTAAAGGCAACGGTTCGAGTCTCACAGCATATCCTGCTTTTCAGGCATGTTGTTTCACAACCATATTCGAAGTCATCAATTATTGCCATCGAATCTATAAATTTATCGGTTATCTCAGCCCATGATGGACGGCGATCTATAACTTCACAATTCCAACTTCCATCAGTACTTAAACTGATCCAGAAAGTAATTCAAATCTACAATTTATCATAAATGACCAAAATGTATGACTAGCAGACAAAGCTTGATTATCAAATTGACTCAGAATTATCAACCTCTCTCAAATTTGTCATTCGTCTTAACCCATCTGTAATGATAAAAACACTCTTTCCAGAGGTTAATGACACACAGACTATTCAGACAGAATAGCTCCTCCCTAAACTCGCACTTACCAAGACATAAAGTGCAGTCACCATCACACACACACACACACACACACACACACACACACACACACACACACACACACACACACACACACACACACACACACACACACATACTTGTTTTCCTACCATAAGGGGGTCCACCGTTTTTTGCCTAATTGTGGGGTCCACCATTTCCAGTGGTTCTACAGACTTATAAAAAATCAAGCAAGATAACAAAAAATTCCTAATAAGAAATATCACTTCAATATAACAAAATTCAAACAAAATTGTTTGCACATGCGTTTTTGTGTCACTTGTGGGGCCTGGATTAAACATTTAGGAGTTGTGGGGTCCGCTTTCATAGATACACACACATTTCTAATCTTTATATCTTAGCAAGGACCAAAGTCACTATCTGTAAAACATCAACTACTTCCATTATTTGCCCTTGATTACCATATAAACCTTTATAGATTATAATGTATATCCTCTAAATTAATCTGCACACGTCTATATTAGCTTAGCCATTAACATGGCATAAGCCAAAAGCCAATCCAGAGACTTTTCTAAATCAATGAGCCCTCAAATTTTGGTCACAGCCTGAACTTCTTCAGTCTGCAGGACACCAACTGTACTTTCTCTGCATTGTATTGGTTATTGAATGAACTGTGCGGTTTTGCTGAAGGGGATCTTGTTTGTCCCATGGTTACTTGTCCACTATTTCTAATGAAGTTGTGTTCCTAGCCAGTCATGTTCACTGCAGCTTAAAGATAATATACTCATTTAAATTGAGGACTTCACATGAAAACTCCCTATTCATCTGATGAATAAAGATTAAGACCCAGTGGAATTATAGCACTAATACAGTGAGTAATATTTTACACAAAACACTGGATTAAAAAAACAACAACTTTAAAACATGATTCGTCCTCAATGAACATATTTGGTATTACACAATGTTTTTTTTTTTTCAAAAAGAGGTTATACAACATTTTAATAACATTGACCAAAATAAATGTTACAGCAATAAACATGCTATAAGCAACTCAAGGAAACACAATCCAACAGTCTTTTTTTGTTGTTGCTATAAAACACTTAAGACAATTGACTGGATCTAACCCTTTTATATGTTATAGTATAAGACAACAAAGAACTTTAAAGGGTTAGTTCCCCCAAAAATGAGCATTCTGCCTTCATTCACCCACCATCAAGGCATTCTAAACCCATAAGAAACTTGTTCATCTTCAGAACACAACTGAAGATATTTGAATGAAACCTGAGAGATTTCCATCTTTCCATTTAAAAACCGTTCACCCTAAACTTTCAAACTTCAAAACATTCATAAAGAAAAAGTTATCAATGTGACAAATAACAAACAAGAAAATCGCATACGAGGCGAAGAATTATTAGTAACCAGGAAAAATGAGAATAATTGTGTGCGCTGCAGCGATGCAAAGTCCAGTTCACAGTTATTGCATTGGTGGAGAATATGAATAATAGATTGATTAAGTGAGATCAACAATAGCACAAAAACAGGGCAGAGCAATATATAACAAACAAGGAAAAGGGCATACGAGGCAAAGAATCACTATTAACCAGAAAATGTGTATAATTGTGTGTGCTGCATCAATGCAAAGTCCAGTTCACAGTTATTGCAATTGTTGGATAATGTTAAGTGGGTGGATTAAGTGAGAGCGCATTCACATTATAAAACAGGGATTAAACCACATGGATTACTTCTACGTTATAAATGCTCTGAAGCTTGAAAGTTTAGGATGAACAGAGTAGCAATGTGTTTCCTAAGTTTTGTTGAGGTTAGTGCTTTGGGGTGTTTGATGTCATCACATTCATTCACAAACTGCCTAATGCAATCGGAACCCCTCAAATAATGGACAGAGAGAGGCAATGCAAACAATGGAGGGAACAGAAATCTCTCAGGTTTCATTCAAAACATATTTTATGTTCCAAAGATGAACTAATTTCTTATGTGTTTGAAATGACAAAAAAAGAGTAAATGACAACTAACCCTTTAAGAGGATAATACAATGAAAACAACTAAATGTAAACTGTTGAAAACACTTAAAATGTATATCCCGATGTAAATGCTAGTGGGAAGGCATCCAATACGTTGAGCTACCTGTATTTCACTGTACTTTCCTTCTTATGGCAGAAATACGATTTTTGATGAAGTATTTGACCGCCTTCCAGTCTCGATTTCCTAACGCTTGAGCTTCTGCATCAACGCAGCGCTGACAGTCCTTTTTCCCTGGAACTTGGCTCCTCACAATGAATTTCCTTAGGTGTCTTTCTACTGCCGCACATTCATCTGTTGTCCAGCTTCTTTTGACAGCAGTTTCTTTACCTAAGTAAACATAAAAAGAACATGTTATTAAGTTTAGGTTAATGTCTTAAGTTCAGGATTTTTAAACCTTAATCTGAACTGAAAGACTATTGTATTGATCACACAGGTCATTCATTGCCATATTGACTTGGTTCAGAGGCTAAAAGTACTCTTAGTTTGTTTCTGAATAAAACATTTGACTAATAATAATAAATCAGTGCAATCCAGTAAAAGGTGTGGTAGCACTTTATTTTGATGGTCCCCTTTAGACATTCTGTTAACGGAGTAACATTGCACCTACATGTCAACTAACTCTCATTACAGCATTAGTAGACCGTCTACTTAAAAGTATTTTATACAATTTTGGCAAATATACTTTGTTGTACGGACATTTTTATTTTAAAAACAAGGCAAAGATACTCGATTTTTACAGTCTCTATCTCATATTTTATGTATTGTCCTGTTAAACACAGCAGTCTCACATCAATGGGAATATGCATATGGAAATGATATGCAGATGAATATATTAAAACTTGTGTAAACGCAAAATCTTCCCTTTGTGCATCCCACACTTTTGATTAAATCCAAGCAAATCGTTATAGAGTTCAATTTTTCTTTTGATCATATAATGAAAATGTTTAACCCCAAAATTCTGTCATCATTTACTCACCATAATGTTGTTCCAACCCTGTATGAGTTTCTTTCTTCTGCTGAACATTTTAAAGAATGTGGGTAACCAGAGAGTTGACGGCACCAATGACGTTCATAGTAGGAAAAAAAATACTATAGAAGTCATTGGTGACATCAACTGTCTGGTTACAGATTCTTTAAAATGTCTTCTGTGTTCAGCAGAAGAAACAAACTCATTCAGGTTTGAGGTTGTAAATCAACTATAATCAGAATATTAGACTGTGTAAACAAAACCTATTGTGACAGCTATCAATGTGCAGTGATCAAAAGTAAAGATTTGATAAAATAATATAATTCAGAATAAAGCTTTCTGTCTTCAAGACGAACGGGACAAATCAATCCACTTAACATTTCTAAGCTCACCTCTCTTTTTTGCCGACTTTCTCTGGTATTGGGAATGCAGCGTGGAAGTAGGTTCTTGTGTGGATGTAGGTTCTTGTGTGGATGCCACACTGTCCTCAACTTCAGGCTCCTGTACGTCTGGAATAAAGTCATCTGAGTGCAAAAAAAAGTTTGAGGAAAAATAAAAATCAAAATATAAACTAAGGATCAATTATGCATAAAATTTGTGTCATGGTGACATAAAAAGCAATGATCAACAGTACAAGTTTATAAATATTCAGTATATGGCACGAGTCTTGCAGATATGTATTGTGAAAAGCGCTATACATAAACAAATCGAGTTGAACAACAAATTACACATGGTTTCCATAATTCTACAATACAGTGGTAGAGAGAGCCGGTTTAAATTAGACTTGCATTCACACTGGGAGCACAATTTAAATGTATGCCCTTGGCAGATACTTTCTCCCCAAAGCAACTTACAGAACACATTACAGTGGCAATAGCCCTGGAGCAATGGGATGAATCATCTTGCTAAAGGACACAATTCTTGTGGAGATCAACTACCTTTGGATAACTATACCTGTGGTGTAGCTTACTGTGCCACACAATCAACTGGAAACAATGTCAAACATTGCCCACATGCAACAGGCAGCATGTCAAAAACATGTCAACTATTAATTTAAACTGAAAGGTTATATTAATGCAACATCCAAATATGTGCAATCCTGTAATGATTGTGCAATAACATCTACATTTAATTGTCTAATTTAAATGAGAGATCTTTCATAACCAATTTTTTTTAAATCATACAAACATACCTTCCTCTTGTGAACACCCATCCATGTCAACAGTCTCTAAAACAGCAAGTAATAGAATATGAATGAGCTGTAAACCTGAAACTGCAATCAATCTGTCAAGAGTATACAAAATGGCTACATAAATAGCTGAATAGACTAAAATTATCAAGTTAGTCACATTATAACAATAAAACCTGCCCTCTTCTTCAGTATGTTGAGGTCAAATACTTCAACTCTGTTATAATCAATTCTATTCTTTTACTTATCAAATACTATCTGCTATTCTAAAAGAGAACGATTTATAGATGGACAATGCTGTGCTTTTTAACTTTCCTTAAAGGGATACTTCACCGTTTTTTCATATTAAACTATGTTATTCCCTTAACCAAGACACTTGCTTGACCCCAAAGGAGTTTAATAAATCTGTAAACGCAGCCCCTAACACATCATTTGAATTATCTACGTGTATGTTAAAATCTCCAACAATTAATGCTTTATCGACGTTGACCAATAGATCTGAGAGAAAATCTGCAAACTCTTTTAGGAAATCAGCGCAAGGCCCTGGCTAGAGATAATAGGGATTTTTTTCTTATATCTGAGAGCGTAACATTTAATACAAGTACTTCAAACGAATTAAACTTGTCACGTTCAGACGCGACGTAGGTGTGCTAGTGATAAGTGCTAGTGACAGTTACACAAGTAGTATAACTACTCGTGTAACTGTTTTTAAATAGGGAAAACATTGATGTGTTTGGTCACTTCTAAATTCATTGCTGTTAGATACCATTGAATATACTGGGCTAAGCTAAGTGCTATCAAAGTGTCATGGCGCGCCAGAGCGATTAAGTGCACGCACTGAGATGAAAGAGGTATGTATCAACTCGTCTTAGTTAAGGGAATAACAGTTTAATATGAAAAAACGGTGGAGTATCCCTTTAATAATAAAAAAAGACTTAATACCAGTCACATCAAGCTGAATTTCATCCAGATTCTTCCCCTTGTATTCTCCTAGCCGTCCCTGTTCCAGCGCTAGAAGAACTTTGCTTATTTTAGCAAGCTGGAGGGTGCCCTCTGGAAGGCGGTAGTGCTTTCTGTGGACCTCAATGTTATGCCCAAGGAAATCTGCCAATTGGTCAAGTTCTGTAGTCTTGAGATTCAGAACAGTCGACAGAGTAGCAATGTGTTTCCTAAGTTTTGTTGAGGTTAGTGCTTTGGGGTGTTTGATGTCATCACATTCGTTCACAAACTGCCTAATGCAATCGGAACCCCTCAAATAATGGACAGAGAGAGGCAATGCAAACAAGTATCCGTTTTCACTCAGTACTCCACATTCTTCTCGCTTTTCAGTCAGAGTATCGAGCGATTCTCTCATGACCGGGGTCAGGAGAACAGGGACTTTCCTTCCTCTCTTTCCTACTATGGCAATCCGAACAAAATGTTTGCAAAGCTTCTGCTCAAGTGCTGTAAGGGCTAGGTTAACATCTTCGTGTGTCTCTGATGTATCCTTTGACAGGAACGCCGACAAGGACATTCGGGATACTTCTCCTGCTCTTCGTCGGTTGAAGAGGATAACTTGCGCCAGGGTCACTTTAGCAAGGTCCTTCCAGTTCAAGGGAGAAGGCTCTTCTTGCAGGGCATTCAATTGCTTCTGCTGTTTCTCAGACAAATAGAAATGAAGTCTGTGGACATCTTGTGTGAATGGTAGAATCTGAGGAGAATTCCACTTTGTCTGGTTAAGCTGAGTTAGCGCTTGGCTTGCAATGTCAAATTTCCAACTTTCTTGGTATAGCAGTGCAAATTCCTCAGCATCTTTGGTAGTCTGTGTATCTTTCATCTTCAATCCTTCAGATTTGATAAACATGGCTAAAGCATGCAAGCCATGTCCAACTTTGCGAGCAAGAGACGGACGTTTATATTTGCCAGTTTCACCATTGAATCCAGCTAGGCATCTTGCAGCCGAGACAACATGGGTGTACTTTTCAGGCTTTATGAGTTCTTTGATTGTCTTCACATGTGTCAACTTTTTTGCTTCCAGTACCAGTCTGCCAAGCTCTCTCAGTTTTTGTCGAATATATTGGTGCTGGCTTATTACATACTCATTCTTTCTGAACTGTCTGTAACCATACTCAAGAATGCAGCGGTCTTCCTTAATAGCAACTGCAACCTCATCCTGATTCATACCACTTAAGAACTTCCAGTACGCGTCGCTAAATCCAATTGGAGCAGGTTCAGCAAATGCACACAAAGCTTGAACTCTTGTTTTACCTCGTTTAGATGTCTTACCCTGAGGCTTGAAATTACAGACCTGAAAATGACGCCACATCACTCTTTTTCGGAACATTCCATAGCAATAAACACAGTGCATGAATTCTTGTCCATCTGTCATTTTCTTTGGCTGCTTCCATGGGATGAGTTTGCCTTTGCGACTCTCCAAAACTTGAGTGTTGTGTTCAAAGTTACCATTGTTTCGGATAAAATCCAACTGTCGTCGCCTTTCTTTTGAATTCTTTGGCAAGCTTAATGCCTTTGCGACCTCAACCACATCGCTGTGTCTACGCGACAAGTGTCTTGACATTTTCTGAACTACCTGTCCACAATACAAGCAGTGATGTTTTTTATTATATCTTCTGGAACCATCCTCCTTCTTTAAAACTGGATTAACAAAGATCGATGGCTCTTCTTCAGGTGTCATTGAAACACTCGTCTCCTTGTGTTTTCCTTCTAGGCTATCAGGAAATCTTTGTACCGAGTCATGACTTGTTTCAAATCTTCTGCTCTGACTGGACTTAAATCGACTCTGACTTGAAGACTCACTTTTGTTCTGACTGGACTTAAATCGGCTCTGACTTGAAGACTTGTTTCTGCACTGACTAATGGATGACATTTTGAAATTCTTCCTTTTATTTTCCAGGGATAACTCCAAGCTGCAGTCACTGTCATTGCTTTCCTCCCTGGGATTTGGAATATACTCATCTTCACTATCGCAACATGAGTCATCGGATTCTACAAGACTCCTTTGAATCTTTCAAAAAAAAAAAAAAGTTAAAAAGGATTAGTCCCCCCAAAAAAGACAAAAAAGAAATTTGCTCACCTTCATCCCAGATATGCATGACTATTGTTCAGTGACCTTTCATAACATGACTGAAATAAATACACAACTCGTTTTGACCAGCAGTTATGGACTACTGTAAGAAGCGTCTTTAACATGGATTTATAAAACAGAGCGCTTTCTTTCAATTGTATCGACATGGATTATCATTAATCAAGTCTTGAAAATGTTGGTTACCATCGGCTTCCATTCCATGTCTCAATATCTAAAAGTTTATTTTCTTAAACTACTCATGTGAGCAATAAAGGTCATGCACATCTGGAATGGGATAGAGTAATTTGAGAATTCTTACATTTTAATCCTTTAGTATGATAAACTGACCATTGCATATTGGGATGACATACATTCTATAGGGGCGTTAAGTAAAATGTAGATTAAGTTTAATCCAAGTAAATGAAATTAGAAACGTACTGTTGATAACGATTAGACCAAGAGCCTAAAAACAAGAGAATATAGAGAAAAGCATAAAAGGGCACACCCCTATCAATATTATTTGGAGAAACAATTGACTGGCATCAGGTAGGGATGCTCCGATACCACTTTTTTCAGAACCGATCCGATACCAAAAATTCAAAGTATCGATCGATACCGATGCCGATCCGATACCAACACAGTTTTTTTTAAATCAAGTAGAATTTATGTAACTCTTTGTGTGTTGAACTCTGATAAGCACTCTTTTGTGTGTTAAACACAATCTACTTAATACAGACAACTTCATTATAAAGAAAAACTAATTCAAAAAATATATGATCATAATCTATGACAAAAATGCTATTATAAACTAGATTAGTGGATAATTCAGCAATAAAATTTAGTCTAGATTAGAAAAATCACGAGTCGACAATAATTGTATAAAATCTGAACATTTAGTGAAAAAAACAAATAAGAGACAATAAATGTAACACTAAATCTGGTAAAACGTTACACATTGCTCTTTGTATTGTTGTAAAATACATTCATGAAAAACAAGATAAAAATCAAAAAGATAAATTATTTTATAGCTATAGGCTACTATAAAATTGAGACATGTTTTAAATGTATAGCACTGCTGTTTAATGAGGCAGCAACATATGATAGATAGAACAAGAAAGGCTATTAATAATCTTTCATTGCGTCACTGTATTATGATTATGAAAGGCTGCAATACAGTGCGGCACAAAGCGCTTATGCGCATCCCGAGCGCAGAATGATGCGCTTGAAGCAACACGGAATCGCGCGTCGAGTCCGCATTGAAAAGTTCAAAGCACAAACGAAAGACATATCGCATAGTGTATTATACAGTATCTATCTATGCAATAGTTTATTAAACCTTTTCTTTTAACAGTTTTAAATTTTAGTTACTGTGCGTGTGAAGAACAATTATAGTGCAGCTGACTCCAGTGTTGTGATCTAACAGACACCCGGCCGGTAGAAAGTAACAGGATTAAGTTACAGCAATAAAGTCTAGCAAGATAAAGTTGTTTTATGCGAAACCATAGAGCTTTATCTACAGATCAAGTATAATAAGAGTAACATTGAATCATCTTGGAGAGGGTTTCATCATGTTGACTGACTCGTAACCGAAGGCGACGCGCTGTTTGAATGCTGAATGGAGAATGAATGACAGCCGCAGCGGAGGCAAAAGTTTACGTGATTTTGAATTTAATGACTTAAATGTTCATTTCTATCTCACATTATACTATAATGGCTTAAGAACACTTGTAATATAGTACACGAAAACTTTATGGTGCTTTATAATGTTTTTGTGCCTTTTGTGGGGCTTAACAATAACACAGAATAGTAGGCTATACGCACAATATCGGATTTGGATCGGCCTCGTCTGACCGATACCCCATCCGGCAAAAATGGCAGTATCGGACCCGATACCCGATACGAATATCGGATCGGAGCATCCCTAGCATCAGGTAAATGAGTGAAATAACTAAAGTTACTAGTACTATAGTTTGACTATAAACTATTTAAGGCTCAAGTTTCCGGAGATGTGCATTTGACTCCTCTCTAGTCGCATCACAGGCTATAAAAATATTTTTAAAAAATGTATTTTATTAATGTTTACCTTTATCGTTACACAAAGCTGTTAGATTGAGTTCCAATATGAACAAAGTTTTCCCTTATTACGTGAGGAGAGTAAAGGCCCCGATATACTCACGGCGAAGTTCTTGTATTTCGCTTGGGGGTAAAATTGTTTTGAAGTACATGATCAGCGGTATGTCGTTAAACATCTGACGCCGCCCACACTGCGTTAGTTAGCACTAACCATTAAGTGATATAATGTATGAAAAAATTAGGCTTACAGGGCGGTGACAGTTTCTCCTCGGCCTTTGTGAAGCCATTTCAGACATAGAAGTGGAAGGCTCATCCATGCTGTCATCACTTGACTCATTAAGAGGAACAGAAAAATCTGGTACTCTATCCATCTGCAAAAAGGGAATTATGTCATGTATGATTATGCATTTTTGTTCACATTCTATGGAAATCTAATACAGGGGAAATATTTTGGTAGAAATGTGCCCAGAGTGTCAGAGACATACCAAAATATTTTTTGGAACAACTTCATTGTCTGACTGCAGACTAGAATCCTCATCAGTTTCATCTATTATACTCTCATTTGAGTCAATCAGAGGATCAGAAAAATCAGCTACTCCAACCACCTGCAAAAAAGGAGTTTCAATTTCAAGATGTAATACATTTTGGCTTACATTCTATTAAAATTAGTCACGGGGAAGTACGTTTGAACCATTTATAGAAACAGCAGCATTTTAAAGTACAGTATCTGAAGCATACCTGAATGTTTCCATTCCTCGTCTTCTTTCGAACAACATCACAGTGTGGAGTTGGAGGGTTGTCTTTAATATACTCATCCGTCTCATCACTTTCGGGATAGTTCACTAGGGAAAACCCTTTGATGGTAAATACCTAAATATAATTAAACAAAATAAATACACATTAAGAGTTAATATTAGCACAAACATGTGGACACGCTACTAATAATAGAAAACATATCTAGTAGGGGTGGAACGGTACACAGAAGTCACGGTTCGGTTCATACCTCGGTTCAGACATCACGGTTCGGTACGATTTCGGTACAATGGAGGGAAAAAGCAAAACAAAAATGCAGAAGGCATTGTATTTTTTAAATAAGTTTTATTAATAAAGGCATAGAACCAGTTTATTTGTAGTGCACTGACAATAGTTTTATATAATTAGTTTATTAATTAAATTAATAAAAAGACAAAAAGACCTTGCGATATGTTTGGTAATTGTACTATTCATTTAAAATTATTTTGCTATATTTCAGATCAATATATTTGTTTTCCTTAATTTTAATTAACATTATTAATTGGCAATGTAACATTATTCTCATCTGAATTATAAATAATTGATTTCTGTATAAAATAATACTACCATTAAAAACACATTCGATTTTCTTTTTTAATCAATGTAGAATGTGTAAGATTAGTGCTCCGAGGACAAGAAATGAAAACCAATGCAATATGATGAATGTCCAAAAGACAGACTGTTTTGAAATGGAGTTGGATAAATATGTTTTGCTTTTAAAACAGTGTGTATGTGATTTTTGTTGGGTGCAGTTGTAGGTTACAGTTTGACAAGAGTTTACAGTGTGACAAAAGCACAATGTTGTGTTTTATTGCGAGTGTACACAAATATAAGTAAACACTTTGCAGGTTTAATGATCTGTATAAACAAAATGACTCTCTCTCTCTCTCAGTTCGATCGCGCCTGTGCGCCTCTCTCTCTCTCTCGCACACACACACTCCAGCATTGCAATCTTGACATCGCAGCCTGTTCATTATGCGGTCACGGTCACACCAAACGCGAATAGAGCTTCAAATTCGCGTCTAGTTCGACGCTAGTCCAAAGCGAATAGGACGCGCGTAGCCAACGTTTGAAGTGAACGCGCGTTCAGAGCTAAGCCGATGGTACAGATTATGTGTCCCTAAAGAACCCGCGTATCTAACAGTAGTTCCACATTACATTAATTAATTTGCACGCGAGTTTTATTTATTTTTGTACCGTGTATTCTCCGTGTAAATTCGTGCACCGAACCGTGACGCCCGTACCGTTTCGGTTCGATACGAATACATGAACCGTTCCACCCCTAATATCTAGGTATGGTACATCTAGGTGTATCTAGGTTGACATTGGAGCGAGCATTTGAGGGGAGCCCCCCATAAAGCCAAGACTAGAAATGTGTGTGTGTGAGGGCCCCATAAAGCCAAGACTAGAAATGTGTGTGTGTGAGGGCCCCATAAGGCCTAGACTAGAAATGTGTGTGTTTGAGCTTAACTGTGAATTCATTCGTTTGAGGGGAGGGCCCCATAAAGCCTAGACTAGAAATGTGTGTGTGTGAGCACTTGACATGCGCAACGAGGGCGAGACTAGAATAGATTGTGATGACAGAGTCGACGTTACTCCTTTACCTGTGTGACGACAGCATCTTTGTTGGAGTCATCATGGGAAGAGTGATCTGTTAGGGATGTTTTGGTCTCTAGAACAGAAGTCTGCTGCTTTGGCTCCTGGAAATCAGACAAAAAAACAACAGAAACCAAAGTTAACAAAAGTTAGCTCATGTGAAAACAGTTTCTCATCTAGCACAGCTGAAATATAAGAGCATACACTCATCTTTTCTAGAGGTAACAGCAACAAATAAGATGTTGCAATGCATTACATCCAAAATACTCATTCTGAACATGCAGCAGCTTGAGAAGTGTTGAATTACACCTGCAATTACACTACTTTAAATATTGACAGGTGTTGTACCAATGATGTAAAATCCCTAAGAGTGAGATCCATACGTGAGGGCCCCATAAAGCCAAGACTAGAAATGTGTGTGTGTGAGGGCCCCATAAGGCCTAGGCTAGAAATGTGTGTGTGTTTGAGCTTAACTGTGAATTCATTCGTTTGAGGGGAGGGCCCCATAAAGCCAAGACTAGAAATGTGTGTGTGGGCCCCATAAGGCCTAGACTAGAAATGTGTGTGTGTGAGCGCTTGACATGCGCAACGAGGGCGAGACTAGAATAGATTGTGATGACAGAGTCGACGTTACTCCTTTACCTGTGTGACGACAGCATCTTTGTTGGAGTCATCATGGGAAGAGTGATCTGTTAGGGATGTTTTGGTCTCTAGAACAGAAGTCTGCTGCTTTGGCTCCTGGAAATCAGACAAAAAAACAACAGAAACCAAAGTTAACAAAAGTTAGCTCATGTGAAAACAGTTTCTCAACTAGCACAGCTGAAATATAAGAGCATACACTCATCTTTTCTAGAGGTAACAGCAAGTGTCACAGCAACAAATAAGATGTTGCAATGCATTACATCCAAAATACTCATTCTGAACATGCAGCAGCTTGAGAAGTGTTGAATTACACCTGCAATTACACTACTTTAAATATTGACAGGTGTTGTACCAATGATGTAAAATCCCTAAGAGTGAGATCCATACGTGAGGGCCCCATAAAGCCTAGACTAGAAATGTGTGTGTGTGTGTGGGCCCCATAAGGCCTAGGCTAGAAATGTGTGTGTGTTTGAGCTTAACTGTGAATTCATTCGTTTGAGGGGAGGGCCCCATAAAGCCTAGACTAGAAATGTGTGTGTGGGCCCCATAAGGCCTAGACTAGAAATGTGTGTGTGTGAGCACTTGACATGCGCAACGAGGGCAAGTCTAGAATAGATTGTGATGACAGAGTCGACGTTACTCCTTTACCTGTGTGACGACAGCATCTTTGTTGGAGTCATCATGGGAAGAGTGATCTGTTAGGGATGTTTTGGTCTCTAGAACAGAAGTCTGCTGCTTTGGCTCCTGGAAATCAGACAAAAAAACAACAGAAACCAAAGTTAACAAAAGTTAGCTCATGTGAAAACAGTTTCTCAACTAGCACAGCTGAAATATAAGAGCATACACTCATCTTTTCTAGAGGTAACAGCAAGTGTCACAGCAACAAATAAGATGTTGCAATGCATTACATCCAAAATACTCATTCTGAACATGCAGCAGCTTGAGAAGTGTTGAATTACACCTGCAATTACACTACTTTAAATATTGACAGGTGTTGTACCAATGATGTAAAATCCCTAAGAGTGAGATCCATACGTGAGGGCCCCATAAAGCCTAGACTAGAAATGTGTGTGTGTGTGTGGGCCCCATAAGGCCTAGGCTAGAAATGTGTGTGTGTTTGAGCTTAACTGTGAATTCATTCGTTTGAGGGGAGGGCCCCATAAAGCCTAGACTAGAAATGTGTGTGTGGGCCCCATAAGGCCTAGACTAGAAATGTGTGTGTGTGAGCACTTGACATGCGCAACGAGGGCAAGTCTAGAATAGATTGTGATGACAGAGTCGACGTTACTCCTTTACCTGTGTGACGACAGCATCTTTGTTGGAGTCATCATGGGAAGAGTGATCTGTTAGGGATGTTTTGGTCTCTAGAACAGAAGTCTGCTGCTTTGGCTCCTGGAAATCAGACAAAAAAACAACAGAAACCAAAGTTAACAAAAGTTAGCTCATGTGAAAACAGTTTCTCATCTAGCACAGCTGAAATATAAGAGCATACACTCATCTTTTCTAGAGGTAACAGCAACAAATAAGATGTTGCAATGCATTACATCCAAAATACTCATTCTGAACATGCAGCAGCTTGAGAAGTGTTGAATTACACCTGCAATTACACTACTTTAAATATTGACAGGTGTTGTACCAATGATGTAAAATCCCTAAGAGTGAGATCCATACGTGAGGGCCCCATAAAGCCAAGACTAGAAATGTGTGTGTGTGAGGGCCCCATAAGGCCTAGGCTAGAAATGTGTGTGTGTTTGAGCTTAACTGTGAATTCATTCGTTTGAGGGGAGGGCCCCATAAAGCCAAGACTAGAAATGTGTGTGTGGGCCCCATAAGGCCTAGACTAGAAATGTGTGTGTGTGAGCGCTTGACATGCGCAACGAGGGCGAGACTAGAATAGATTGTGATGACAGAGTCGACGTTACTCCTTTACCTGTGTGACGACAGCATCTTTGTTGGAGTCATCATGGGAAGAGTGATCTGTTAGGGATGTTTTGGTCTCTAGAACAGAAGTCTGCTGCTTTGGCTCCTGGAAATCAGACAAAAAAACAACAGAAACCAAAGTTAACAAAAGTTAGCTCATGTGAAAACAGTTTCTCATCTAGCACAGCTGAAATATAAGAGCATACACTCATCTTTTCTAGAGGTAACAGCAAGTGTCACAGCAACAAATAAGATGTTGCAATGCATTACATCCAAAATACTCATTCTGAACATGCAGCAGCTTGAGAAGTGTTGAATTACACCTGCAATTACACTACTTTAAATATTGACAGGTGTTGTACCAATGATGTAAAATCCCTAAGAGTGAGATCCATACGTGAGGGCCCCATAAAGCCTAGACTAGAAATGTGTGTGTGTGTGGGCCCCATAAGGCCTAGGCTAGAAATGTGTGTGTGTTTGAGCTTAACTGTGAATTCATTCGTTTGAGGGGAGGGCCCCATAAAGCCTAGACTAGAAATGTGTGTGTGGGCCCCATAAGGCCTAGACTAGAAATGTGTGTGTGTGAGCACTTGACATGCAGCACGAGGGCGAGACTAGAATAGATTGTGAGACTAGAATAGATTGTGATGACAGAGTCAACGTTACTCCTTTACCTGTGTGACGACAGCATCTTTGTTGGAGTCATCATGGGAAGAGCGATCTGTTAGGGATGTTTTGGTCTCTAGAACAGAAGTCTGCTGCTTTGGCCCCTGGAAATCATACAAAAAGTTCTAAGAAACAGATCATGCATATGAGATCACATAGCTATGCATAGATAATCAGGTTAATATACGATTTATAATGAAATACATATGGTAGAAAACAGATGTAGCTGTGCTATTCAGCACTTAAAAAAAAAAAATTAAAATCAGTATAGCTAATATAACCAACTCACCTTTTTACGCCATGGCCATTGTGAATCACCATAGTTGTATTCGATTTCACTTCCTATTTCAATTTTCTTCACAGCAAATAGACACAAATGTGGCCTGTCGTTTACTACGATTTTTTTCATGGTGCAGTTTGGAGATTTGTGGTTGTCATTAATCAATCTTCCAAGGGAGCGGTCTTCTTTGGATGCATCAATACTAAAATAAATAAGAAACCCACCCTTTAGTTGTTGAACTACAATACCAAATTTCACCACCCATAAAATGATTGACAGCAGGGGGACTTCAAGACTTATCATTGGAATTAACTGCTGCGGTTCACCAGCCATGTGCGATTAAAAGATTGGTCCTGCTGTTGTTCATTCATCAGCTACTCAATAATGTGTGTTACATGTCTTCATTAGAATTTTCAACATCTCTACAAAACATGCGTGTTTCCATGCTCACCACCAGTGACGCTTCTGCCACTCAAATTCAAACAGAAATGTGCTCTGTAACTCAGTGTAGTCTCTTGCCCGGCATTCTTCTGCTGAAATGAGTTCACCCCTGTACTCCAAAACAAAAGCTCCGGCTTCCACAGGCTGGGTAGTAAACACTCCTCTTCCTATGAGGACAAACAATTAAATACATTTAACTGGAAGAAAAATGTGTTGTCTTAACCCTTCACATACAGATGTGGTATAACTAGTGTTGTCAAAAATATCGATACTGAAATATCTGAACGGTACCAATACTAATTTCGAGTGTGTGCGCACAGAGGGCTACCCGTCATGGTTCATTGCAATTTAGCTTTTTAAATAGCATAGCATTTATTTACACAAATACATAATAAATTACATTTTGATGTTTGAAAGCATTTTTTTTACAGTCTATGTTTGAAAGTCTCTAGGTTTACACCGCCACGCGCATGCCCAGTGTTGGTGAATGGTCACGTGATCCACGTTTTCAGTCGTTTTAATGTGGCCCGAGATCAATTCTAATATGCAGCTAAAACGCTGGTTTGGACTGAGATCGTATTCGTTTTAATTCTCCCTTTCTAAACTAAAACGCAGTAGTGTGGATGGGGTCTGTGATTCAGGTTATTAACTAGAGACCGACCGATATGGATTTTTAGGGGCCGATACCGATAAAAAAAGACAGATACCGATATCGGCCGAT